AGGGATCCTAATAAATCATAATTATTGTTTATCGGTCTATCAAGAATATGAATTTCAAGTGACCTATTTTCTTGTTTGCAAGATCCAAACATTCTTATTGCAGTTTTCATTCGTTTTATAAAAGATGCTGTCTATTTCCCACTTTTTATGGGCGTATCTATTTAGTATGTTTCTAGTTATTTTTTTCTGAGACATTTATAGCTTTGATTGTGCTTTCTTTTTCAATTTTTTTCTCAATTGAAACTTTTGATCGAAGGCAGAAAGAAGAGAGGAAAACAAGATTTTATCCAACTTCCTTCTACTAGATTTTACGATGAATTAAAATTTTGCGAATAAAATTACTTTCTTCGTTCAAAACAAATTCCATTTTGCGATTTTACACACAAAATATTGAACGGCTGTGTATCAATTTTCCAGTTAAACGATGGATAAAATGTTTTATTTTGAAAATATAAAATTATTTCCGGGTGAATTGAGACAAAAAGAAAGAATTTGAATACTAAAAATGGTGTTTTTATCTCCTTTATGACCATGATCAAAAGTTAATAAAAGAAATAAGTAATAAATACATGCATAGTCCAAAAAGACAATTTTGTTCCCTCGGATTTTCTTCTCGGTATAATTAGGTCATTTTTATTCCCATTTACTTTTTAAACTTTGTCACAATGCTGTTATAAAAATAATAAAATCACAATTCATTCTACTCTAATATATTTGATCACTCATTTATATTTAGTGGCCTAATTGGCCAAATTGCTTCTTTCAATTAATTGTTCTTTTTATGTAAGGTAAGAAGAAAAAGTTAGTGTCACGGGCGAGATTCGAAGCCGAAGGTCGTGGGTTCGAATCCTGCTCGTAACACTAACTTTTTAATCTCAACCAAGACCTTACATAAAAAGAATATTAGATAATGTTGGCAATGATAATAACTTTAAAGACAAATTACTACTTTCTCTGGGAGAAAGAAAAATTCCTTTGCGATTTGAAATGTTTGAACAGGTCTAATAATGAATTCAATCGAATTTTGACTAATTTTTAAATGACTCATATCAAAAAGTCAATTTTAGCCCTTGTTATTCTAATCTGGCCCTTGTTAACAATTGTGCTAAGAATAATAAAAATAATAACCCAAGGTCGTGGGTTCGAATCCCGCTCGTGACACAAACTTTTTCATTTAAACCAAGACCTTACATAAAAAGAATATTAGATAATGTTGGCAATGATAATAACTTTAAGAACAATTTCTACTTTCTCTGGTAGAAAGAAAAATTCCTTTGCGATTTGAAATGTTTGAACAAGTCTAATAATGAATTCAATCGAATTTTGACTAATTTTTAACTGACTCATCAAAAAGTGAATTTTAGCATTTTTTATTCCAATCTAGCACTCCTTAACAATGGCTCAACGTTTAGCAGATCCAACGTGCTATTGTCGAGTCTGTGTCCCAAAGCATTTCGAATTTAACACACTAAACACATTACAAAATTTCCCTGAATATCTCATATTTTTTATATTCTCGTTAAAATCTAATAATTTAATTCATTGTGAAACAGTGTTTAGGTCATAGGGGTGATAACCAGTAAATTCAAATTAAATTTATGATGAAATTTATTTATTTTTAACACTATCGATACATTCGGGAACTAATTAATCTAACCAACTAATTTCATTTCAGTCCCAACACTCTCAGTAATAGGGTAATTATATTATTGATAGGGCTTTACTAATTACGTTTTCCCTCGGTTAAATTGTACTTTTTTTCAATTCAAAAAACTCGCGATGAAGACGGATTCAATAAGTGACCCAATGCCGATTCAACATGACAATAAGTCTTTGCTTTTTATATAATAATCAATTATAAATATAGTGTTTTCAATTAAAAATCTTTTTATGTAAGGTTTTGGTTGAAATGAAAAAGTTAGTGTCACGAGCGAGATTCGAACCCACGACCTTCGGTTCAATACGCCGCTGCTCTAACCACTTGAGTTATCGTGACATCGATCCACTCCCCCAGGACAGGAACACAACCTATAACCTTTCTCTTTTTTTTGTTTTGACATATTTTCAAGTGGTTAGACCAGCGGCGTATTGAGCCGAAGGTCGTGGGTTCGAATCCCGCTCGTGACACAAACTTTTTCATTTAAACCAAGACCTTACGTAAAAAAAAAGAATAATTAATTGAAAGAAGTAATTTGGTCAATTAGACCACTAAGTATACATGAATAGAAATAATTTTTAAAAAGTATGTGCTGGAGCTGTCTAGAACATGAAAAAGATATACATATAAGACTATATATATCGAATCTGATTAGGTTCAAGTTTTCATTTTGATTTCCATTTATATTCAAAAATATATTGTTTTCAGCTTTTTCAGAACACTGGGTAGCAAATTGTTTAGAAGGCTGGTTAGCCTAATTTTATATGATTGTTCGAATTGTTTTAAACAGGGAGGATAAATTTTCTACAAACTTTTCTGCAAGGCTAATTTCATTAGTTTCATTTGTTAAGTAGCCGAGACTAATAAAAGAGACAACTCAACTGTTTATTTATTATTCGAAGTAAGGACGAAGTTTTAAAAAAAATCGATTTCCTTTATTATCCTGTAATTGTGAACGATCGCATTCATCAGGATCTTTCACAGAAAAAAAAACTCCATCGTCAAACTGATTCCTTACTATTTCTTGGTCTAAACCTTACTTGTACGATGCGGGGGAGTTTTTGGCCGGAGTCAATGAAATGGAGGTCGGGGCGGATGTAGGTCGATGATGAGAACCTCTGTGAACAGCTCATCCCACTGAGTGGGGCGTTAACACCCTCCGTCCTTTGAAGCAGGTGTTTAAGAAAAGTCCGTAATAAAGGGACACGACAACCTCAACAGACCTCAATTCAATCATGGCCGAAATACTTTTTTGTCGTTTATTTATTAGATAAAATGATATTTCCTGGAGATAGACATGTTTATAGTATACCCGCAAAGAAATTTGTCATGTAATTCATCTTGAAGTCTTTCACAGTGAACTTTCTATTGAGTGTCATTCCGAGGAAAGTGGTACACCAGGGTAATAGCTGTCCTCGAAAAACGCTTTTGAAGCCTAAGAAAAACGTTTCCCCTAGTTTTCCTTAGCTAACTTTCCAGTTGACCATAACCTGCGGACAATAGTAACAAGCAGGACCAGTACTTTGATCCGATCATTGAAAGAACAGTGAGTTTAGGCAGTCCAAAATAATCGAAAACCATACTGAAAAACCCTGCTGTAATATCCTTATTCTTCCTCATTAATACTGAGCAAAAAACTCGTATTGGTTACTTTAATAAGGTCGAACGAACGACGTTTCTAAGGCAAGCAGAAGTTTTCTACCTTCATTCCAAACATGTTTTATAAAAATACATTAAAAATTAGATCTTCCAAATGCAAATAGAACGAAAGTTATGTCGTAGATGAGTATATTAGGGATAAAAATGGTTTTATTATTGAACCAGAACGACTGCTCTTGTAAAATCGAACCGGATTGCAAAACTTCATGTTTGGACCACTTTTTTCAGAATATAGAAAGAAGTACAGAAAAATAAATAAAATCAATTGTTTAATGAAGGTCTATATTTTTTATATTCACTAGTTTTCGTGGTCCGCTTAAGGTTTTTAGTTGAGATAAAAAAGTCAGTGTCACGAGCGGGATTCGAACCCACGACCTTCGGCTAGATACGCCGCTGCTCTACCACTTGAGCTATCGTGACTTCGATCCACTCGAACACTAACTTCCAATCTCAACCCCACCTTTTGAATCGAATTTCGGCCAGAACAGCGTGTCAGCCATTTTAAAACAAGCTATATATTAGAAATAGAGTAGGACCAAGTATTATACCCTGAGGAACTCTAGTTGTCCATAGACCGATAAAGGAAATCCTAGTTTTTGCCACCAAACTATTACAAATGTATGATATGAGTGAATTATAATGTAAAGTCCGTAATAACGATAAATGGACCCGAACACAGTGTCAGCCATTTTGAAACAAGCTGTATATTAGAAATAGTGTAGGACCGAGAATTAAACCCTGAGGAACTCTAGTTGTCCATAGACCGATAAAGGAAATCTTAGTTATTGCCACCAAACTATGTATTACAAATATATGATATGAGGGAATGTAACGTCGTAATAGCGAAAAATGGACCCGAACACAGTGTCAGCCATTTTGAAACAAGCTGAATATTAGAAATAGTGTAGGACCAAGTATTAAACCCTGAGGAACTCTAGGTGTCCATAGACCGATAAAGGAAATCTTAGTTATTGCCACCAAACTATTACAAATATATGATATGAGTGAATGTAACGTCGTAATAACAAAAAATGGACCCGAACACAGTGTCAGCCATTTTGAAACAAGCTGAATATTAGAAATGGTGTAGGACCCAGAATTAAACCCTGAGGAACACTAGGTGTCCATAGACTGATAAAGGAAATCTTAGTTATTGCCACCAAACTATTACAAATATATGAGTGAATTATAATGAAACGTCGTTATAACGAAAAATGGGCCATTAATATTTTCCAGTACTTAAAACGGTCGTATTTTTTAATCATCCTCTGGTTATTGTAATGGATTATAATGTTGCAATATCATGGCGGATTCTAGAGACTTTCTTCGATACTGTGTTGCTGTGATTTAGAACTATTTGGTTTAATTAATTACATTCTATAGGATGTCAGCCGTGACATTCGATTTCTCTGATTCAGGGGAGCAACCACCAAACTGTTTTGAGAGGATTTCAAAGCACTAACGACCTTCCGGAACGTAAAACTTAGTGAGTCCTAATTAATCAAGTATCAGTAACTTTAACTGTAATTTTCATATTTTATCTGTGTGCTTTAACAATTTGAAGTCTTAACTTTATTCAGAGAACTATTTGATTAACTTTTTTAAATGTCTTTACTCTGATTTGGATTAAACACGAATCATCGAACAAGTTTATCCTGTCTTAAGAACATTGAGGAGTACTCACCGTTATTAAGAGGCGTAGATATATTGATGTTGATGTTGCACACGTTGTTATTGTCGAAGTCAGGATCATCCCTATCAAAAGCGAAACACTCCTCGTAATCCGTGTAAGACGACATCTTCTATCCTGAAACAAATATATATATTTAAAGAATTTATAATAAAAAAAAGTCAGGTTCATATTATTATTATGCAACTACAAGAACATCGAAATAATAATCGTAGTAATATTAGAAAAATTAAGACTGAGGAAAGAAAACATACATAACAAACTAAGTATTGCTCATAGTATTAACCAAAAAAGAAATTGTGATATTTTGACTAACATTAAAGCAATGTTTACAACAACGTATACTTGTTAAGTCTATCACAATGATAGACTCAAAAATAGAGTTTCAGATAATGCCGTCTTGTAATGGTTGATTTTGAATCTGGACCACCATCAACCCAAGGACTAACGTTATCCTTTTCCTTATTAAGTTATCTAGATAAATTTGTCAAACGCTGCTTCCAGGTTATTTCTTAACAGTATGTCATCAAAACTCACAGTCATAAACCGAATCTTTACACCTTCCAAAAATGGATCTCGATCATCTAGGTTTATCGTTTCAATGCCGTATCTCTTGTCGCCTACTAACCCAGCTGTAACTTTTCAAAGGTCATCTCTATTTAAAAAAAACCAGACAGGCCACATGAATTGCCTTCAAGCTATAGGCCAATTAGTCTTCTTAGGTCATTTAGCCCAGCCTTTTACGATAATACTAGGACGGCTGAAAACCCATCGTCCGTCACGAAGAAATTTTCGGTTTACTCACCTCGTTGAGCACAATAGGTTCAATTGCATGCATGATGATTCCCAAATTAATAACTAAAAATGAAAATGTTCTCTTTATAAAAGTCCATGGCCTTCTTCAAAGCTCGATCCTTGGACACACGCAAATATATGGCATCTGATTTTTGTACAAATATTTCTTCAAAAAAAGGTACAAATTTAATAAAGGGAACTTTGAAAAAAAAAGATATATTTATTACAATCTGTAACTTTATGTACATTATGTTATGGGTTGAATTTACAAATGACATGGATCAAATTTGGTGTACGAGTTCACTGTTGTTATCCCAATTACATGCGAGGACTAATCCTCGTTTGGTATGTTGCGAGGCTATCTCCCTCATTAGTCGTCAGGTGGGACTAAGGGTGGTTTATTTTGGTTAACGACTGGAAAACTCGATTAGGGTGAGAGGAGAGTTTATTGTAGAAAGTAGAAAATGTTTCGGGGATTATTTTTTTCCCGAGAGGTATTTTGAGGTCATTGCGAAGGTTGTTGGAGATATAGTAAGGAGCATTGACTATGATTCTGAGGACTTTGGATTGGAAGGATTGTTTAGATGTTGGAAGGAGTAGTGCTCCAGTTCTAATCGGTACGTCCAGTATTGTACGTGGTAGTATGGTGTATTGTCAATTGAATCGTTGAAATGGTAGATTTACATGACAAAACTCTGTATAGTGTGAAAGAATCACTTCAAAATTAGTCAGTGAGTGCATCCAAAATCTCCAAAACCTGGGGAAACACAACAACCTGAGCCAGGGCACAGAGAATTTTTTTGGTAACGAGAAAGCAGACACACTGGCCAGAGGAGGATTTGCAAGACCATACATAGGCCCGGAACACTTAGGATAACAAAAACAAATATAGAATCCTCGATCTCAGAATGGATCAAAACAAAACAAAAGGAGAAGTGAATAAACTCTAGCCATAGACATGATTAATGTTAATGTCTTATGATGAAACATCCCTCATCAAGGCTGGCAAAAGCATTGCTGCACTGCTGTAAACTCAGAAGAGTGGTAGGACTACTAACCAGTCACTGGCTTCTGAGGAAAAATCTACACAAGGATATATACAACGATGATCCCATATGCAGATGATATAATGAGGAGGAGGAAACAACCACCCATATCAACTTTGAATGCGAAGCAACTGCTCAATGGAGATTTAACCGAACAAATCGAAAAAACTTAGGGAATCAAATTGCAGCAGCGACAGTCAATGACCTGATACTTCTAAGGAGAAGGATTGACTCTACTGAACTAATGAACTAGGAAGGTACAATAAGCCAAAAGGCTACAGTGCCTGGGGAGCGCAAACCCCGCTTCCTAGTATCCTTTTTACCATACCATGGTTCCAGGTGAGTCTTGGGTCTATACGGAATGTCTTTTTTGGGATGGGATTATTATTGCGAAATATCGTATGAGGGATTTTGCTTCGAATGGTGAATGATACATGGGTGCTTTTGCTTTCATTAAGCCAGTGGTCCATTTGCTATTTGCAGGACATATGCTTAGAGCTCCTCAGAAGCAATTATGGGGAAAAAACAAGTTTAGTATTTGGTAATCTGTAAAATATCGACCCACGAAAACTTTTGATGTACCAGGTGTTTAAAACTTTAACACCTCGGGACTTAACGACTGATTCTAAACTGTAATTAAAATTAAAACAATTTAACACAAATGTGTGTTTAAAAAGGTTAAGTGTACTATTATTTCGTACTAAGTAGAATACATTTTGAAAATATTAATTTTTTATTTCTTTGTAATATAAAATAGAGAATAAATGTCAATGTCTAAAGAGGATTTATAAATTCGTATTCTCTCGTATTAGCACTTCACACGTCAGCAGAAGTGACGTTCGGACTTTTTAACGAGTGCCGAACATCTGTTTGCAATATCAATTTCGCGTTTCTAGTTCAATTTGTCGCTTTTCTCATCTGTAGGTTTTCAAGGCGTCTCCGGCCGTAAATTCTACACGACTGGAAACGGTTGAAAAGGGCCATTAATTGTCGCCTCTCTCTCCCCCCGCCCGGCCCTTAATCCTTAAAAACAAGAGGTCGTTAAACGAGCAGACATCAAGTCTGATCAAATAACGTCAATCGACCGACCATTCTTAGACGAACATAGAAATGAGTATATAAAATTGAATGAAATTTTCAAAAAAATCGAAAAACCAACAAGGCCAAGGTGAAGATCTCGACAACAGACATTTATATTTAAACAACATCAAGAATGAAATATATGAGCTACTGAACTTCTATGGCTTCGTGTTTAAAAAAAGTCTAATATTTTATTTTCGAAAAAAAATTCGGGATTTGGAGAAAAGGCGTAAAAGGCTTAACCTAAATACTAAACTGGCCAAATGAGACCATCTATTAATTTTACAATTTTATACAGTAATAAATATAATTTAGTGCGCTCATTAGTGTCGTAATTTATCGGTGATCGGGGGGAGGAAGACTTATATAGTGCTTAAATACGTCACTGGCGATGAATAAAAGAAATGAACAGAATTTTTTTAACTACCTCAAAAACTTCGATATTATTCTCCTCTTTGAGACCTTCAGAGGCTAAGGATCAAGAGGAATATTCATCAACCTTTCAAGATTTCCAGCTATTGGGTTGTCCGGAAAATAATGCAGGATTTTAAGTTTTCATTAAAAAAAATCTATATAAAATATTCTGTTTACGTTTACAGGATTACTCATTTGTATGAATGTCANTTATTTTGATTAAAGAACATTGCTTTAAAGTAACTAGTTTCTTTTTTTTTGTTTAATACCAAAATCCTGCATTATTTTCCGGACAACCCAATATTATCCGGCAACAAAAGTAGCGAAATTTGGATGAGCATCCGGAGGCTGTCTGTATGGCATCAATGTGAGAAGTGTGGCAGTAAGGTATATTTCTTTTTGTAAAATTAAAAACATAGATATGTTAAATGTTAAAACAAATTTCGGTATGTACATCTATCCAGTTGTAATAAATGCAACACGCATTTCAACAAACTGTTTAATTTAGTATCAGATAGTAATGATTTAAACATTGTTATGATTAATCTTTACGTGAGGTATTGGTTGAGATGAAAAAATCAGTGTCATGGGCGGGATTCGAACCCACGACCTTCAGCTTAAAACAGGATGCTCTAGCCACTTAAGCTGTCGTGACTTCACTTTCATTTGTCGCCGAGAATCAAACAGATTACACGACATTTGAAAAATGGCAAAAAGGAGGGAAAATGAGATGGCAAGTTGGTGTCCGAGTGGATCGAAGTCACGATAGTCAAGTGGTCGAGCAGCGGCGTATTTAACCGAAAGTCGTGGTTCGAATCCCGCTCCTGGACCAGCTTTTTCATTTCAAACAAAAAACTTACATAAAAATATATTAATCTAAAGATAGTAGGAGTTGGTTTGCCAATCTTGTGTTAGCATGCGCTCCTACAACTTATCCAATTCTCCTTGTCTTTTTTTTGGACCCATTCACTGATGGAGGATTCTGTGTGGATTTTTTTTATCGTAGGAAAAGGTTCATGGCTTGCAGATCCTCCTCTGCTCAGCGTGTCTGCCTTTTCCTTACCCGAAATTCCTTTGTGCCCTGCTGCCCAAGATACCAGGTTACAGTGTTTCCACAGGTTTTGAAAATTTTGGATGCATTCACTGTGCAATTTTTTACATGCTAATGCTTTAATAGATGCTTGGCTATCCAAACTTATGAGGATTACTTTGTCAGCTTAACTGCTTATAAGTTTTTCTAGGGCACAACTTTTGATAGGTTGAAAAATCGAGGTGAACTTCCATAATTAGTTTATGGTTTTGAGCTTGTACAAAAAACACCTGATACCTCATGTGTTTTAGAGCCATCGTGGTACCTGATGTTCACCTGAATTCTTCTACTCCCTTGTAGTCTGTAGAGCTTTACAGAATGCTTTTTCAGAATAGGTTTTTCACCTATTTTTAAGAATGGGTTTCTTTGACTGAATATTTTTGTGTACCCGAATCGTTAGTTCTCGTCCAGTTTGATTGTTCTTGGAGCCTAAATGAGCATTTACTAGCTTCTCCTTGTATAAATGTAATCCAATGGAGGTATGTTTAGCAGTTTCTAGTGCAATTGAGGGGATTGTTTTCTCTGTCCTTATGGTACATAGGTTTGTATGCTACCTAATGTCTGACTTTGTTTTTGTCGAGATTTTTTACGCCAGATTAGTGATTCATAGTTTATTTTTGGTCTTATTACTGCTACAAAAGTCTCAAAGCCAATGGACCATGAAATATACATGACCAACAGTGCGCTCCCTT